AGAACAGGGCCAGGGGAGCAGCCCGGGACCAGCCGCAGTGGGTGGATCACCCTCCAACCTCCAGGTCCAGACTCCAAGATGGAGCGAGCATGTCTGTGCTTCCTCTCCTGGTGCCTCTTGAACACTGAGGATGGGAATTTTGCAGCATCTCTGGTGGTACAAGCAGTTCTTTGACAGGGCTGGGCGGCCCGGCTACGGGATGGCCCCGACCTGGGATTTTCAGGGGACGCCAGTCATCCTGAGTAGCACAGTAAACATCTCTTGATATGTTCCTTATGGGGTCCTGGGGAATGATAAAGTAAGGATGGAAACCAGGGTCTTCTAGTCAAAGAACCAGGCCTTGGCTTAGGGAGGAAAATATTTGCCATATCCCCGTCAAGTGCTTGGATGCTCCCAGTGACGGAGAGCTCACTGTCTCATTCCTCTGCTGGCTGAGTTTCTCTTCCCTGACCTTCAGTTTTCCCTTTCCAGTTGGCCCCGCTCCCCTTCCCTGGTCGCAGGGAATGAATCACAGACCTACCCTGGGACAGAAAGGAAGCAGAAAAGCGCACGGCTCTTGAGTCTTACTCTCTAAGTAGCTAGACCAGCTACTTCACCTCGCTTTTCACCCCTGAAGGCAGACGGAATCTGGAAGGCAGGGGTGGAGTCTCTGCTGGGGCCTGGGACAGCTTCTGAATGACCTGTGTGGGCCATGCAGCCCACCCTGTCCCAGAGGCCCAAGCACAAGGCAGGCGACCGAGGCAGAACTGCTTTCCCTGAGCAGTGCTTGAGCCCAGACTCTGTCCAGCCCAGCCTGTTTCTGAGCGCTCTGGCCAGTGTGGTGTCAGCCCTCGCAGACCCCCAGCTCCTCCTGGGCCTGTGCAGGGCTAGCCCATGAGCCAGGCTGGAAAATCCCTGCTTTGCACATTGCCACTGGGGGCAGGTTCATAAAATGCAAAAAATCCCCCTTTCCCTTCACCTCCAAGGAGTTTAATCTCTTCTAATCAATTTAGCAGACTCGCTTGGTAGTAAACGGTAATGATTTGCATTTTTGAGCCTTTTTATCCCTCCTTAAGCAAAAAGATGCCTCCTCTGTCTGCCTTCTGGAAGGCCTGTTCAGGGCTGTGAATTGCTTGTTAGCACTCACCCTGGCACCAATCCATTGCCAGGCCTCCGCCCATCACCTGCACTGATCCGAGCGCAGGGAGGGGACAGGGGCGCGCAGCATGCCCACAGCTGCCCCTGGCTGTGTTCCTGGCCCTGAGAGCAGGTCCAGTCCTTGGGGTGCGCAGGCCACTGTGCACCCCGAGACACCTCATTCCAGCAAACGCCCCAGCTCTCTCCTGGTTGCCTCCCTAGCTCCATTGCTCCCTGTCTGCCGCATCCAATTTTCCTTGTTGTATTTTTCATAAGTGCGAGGCTCAGAAGCCCCGTCCTCCTCCCTGGTGTGTTCGGCAGGAAGCAGATTTCCGAGTGGAGTGGGTTGGCTTTGGGACTTGGGCTGCCATTGGTAGGGTGGGGGCGGGGGTTGTCCTCCTCTCCTGCCTCGGCTCCAAGCAGGTGAAGGAGGGAGGCTCAGGTGTGTCCTGGGCATGCTGCCTGGCACTTCTCCAGGCCCATCAGCCACCTCAGATCCTGCAAGGATCCTCACCTGGCCTGTCCCTCCCACTCTGGGCCTCTGTCACCTGCTGTGGATCAACTAGAACCTTCCAGAATTGGTGGGAGGGAGGAGCCCTTACTTGGCCTTTGGAGCACCCAGCTTTTCTGGGTGAAGCCCGACTCCTGTCGCAGCCCACCCTCCACTTTGCAGAAGGGGAAACAGAGGCTGTGGATTTACAAAACACGCTTTCCCTCCACCTCTCTGCAAACCCTTTCTGACCCCTCCTCACTTTCTGCTCCTGGTTGGCCTCCCTGGACCCCTAGGGGAAAGAGGAGGAGGGAGGGAGAAGAGGCAGAAGGCAGGCATGGGCCTTGGGCTCTGGGTAGGGAAGCCTGCCCCCCCACCCCCCAGCCACCACCATCTTCCTAGCTGCTGTCCCCTCCCCTGCCAGTGTCACTCAGAGCCAGAAGGGACCAGTGCCCCACCTCCTGCCCCCAACCCTGGCATCCTGGCCCTGGGTGGGGAGGCCCTCTAGTCAGCCACACGGCTGCCATGTTCCTGTGGAGGTGGCCCAGGAAGCTGGAGCCAATTTAGAGAAGATGGAGGCTTCCTCGGGGAGGCCGCAGGAAAAGGGAAGGAGAAAAGGGAAGAAAAGAAGCTTTTGATGCACATCATGTCTGCAGAATTGAGTATGACTAATTAATAGATTTTATTCTTAGTAATCTCTTAAGCATTCCATACGTTAGGCCCCACGCCTGAGCTGAGCTTACAAGAGGCCTCATTCGCAAAATGCAAATGACTCGCCTGGCCCTGCTGCCTCCTCTCTTGCCTCGCCTTTTCTTCCCCCCGTCTTTTTTATTTTATTTATTTATTTTTTTAGGGAAAATTTAAAGGAAAATTGCCATGTAATAGAAAAGAGATTCTAATCACTACATCTAATTACCACGAAGGGTAAATCACTTAACCAAAGAAGTGTCATGGGCTCTTTTTATTAAAAAAAACCTTAAAACCCGCTATAAATGCCACAAAATACAGTCATCAACGCTGAGGCCAACGAGGTTGTTCTGGCTAGTTAGAGGCTGCAAGGGTCAGGTCGGCCGCCCACAGAAGGGAGATTCTAGACAGAAGTGGTAGCCTGGGCCCTGGGCTTGTCTTCCCAGGCCCTGTGTCCTCAGGCACTGCTAGGGGCTGGGGGAGGCTGGGCAGCCCTGCAGCATCTCTCTCCTTGTATTATGAGGACACTCAGAGGAGTTGGACCGGGAAGGGACAGGGGTTCAGAGTAGACCTGGCTTCAGGCCCCCTCCTTGGCTTGGGGAGCTGTGAGGCGGCAGACATTCGGCAGCTCACTCTCAGAAAGGACTCCGGGAGGATGTCTGATGCTGAGGGGAGGAAAGGTGAGAGCAGGCCCCAGGGCCCGGCTGGCGAGTCTCCACTATCCTCAGCACTTACAGGGCAGGAGGACGCCTGCAGCGAGCTCTCGGTGAGCCCCTGCCTGAGTCCCCGGGGAGCAGGAGACCCACGTGTCCTCAGGCCCAGGTGGGCCCGGGCCTGCTTTGTGCTGTAGGGGAGGGAAGCTGATCACCCAGGCCTGCAGGCCTTTCTGACCTCACTGACTCTAGGGCCACTTGCTATTCCCCAAATGCCTTCCTAACCTCAGAGGGCATGATTTGACCTCCTCCTGGTGTGGTCAAGGGGAAAGGAGGCCCCAGAGTAAGATTGGGGGCCGAAGCATGTTGGCAGTGGGGAGTCGGGGGCCGTGGCAAGGCCAGGGCCTGGGACACCGGCAGAAGGCATGGGTGGTGCTGTGAGGGAGGGGACCTCACTTCTGAAACAGCAGGGACCTCGGGCTTCTGTCCCTTCCCCCTCTTCCTGAGCCAATGCCCTACATCTGCGCGCACCCTCGGCTCCTCCCCAAGCTGCCCTAACGGCCTGTGTCAAGGGTGCTTGAGGCCAAAGGGAGGGCGACCTTCACAGAGACATGAAATTAAGGCTTGGAATAATCTCTCTCCTGATCTCATTGTGTGAGAAAATGATTCAAATGGGCCAAAGGGTGGGGAGGCTTAGTTTCAAGCGGAGTGTGTCCATGCCCTGCGCCTGTCCCTGGGCCTGGGGAGCCGGACTCTCCATTGTGGGGCGAGACCCTCCCTCCAGCCTGGCAAGGGAGGGGGCCGCACCTCTCCTCCACCCCACTCACACGGCTCTTGTGACCATTCCTTTCAACCCCTGCCTCTTCACTGAAGGGGCCAGTCACATCTTTTCACGACTAGTGAGCGGCCAGTCCCCGGGGCCTGTCCCGGCAGCCCCGTGACTGCCGGTCAGCATCCTCTTCCTGCCCTTGGCTTTTGTCAGTGCAGTTGAGGCCTTTTGAAACTGCCAGCGCCTGGAGCCGGACACCTCCTCGACCTCCCCTGCCCTCGGGCCAGTGTCTCTCCTCTGACATGGCTCTTCCCCAGCACAGCACCAGGGGCACGTTGACAGGTGGTGGCCCGAGCTTCCCGAGGGCCGGGGCGCGGGAGACCGCAGAACCCTGGGCACCACTCCTCCTTCTCTCCAGCTTTGCTGTCATCCTTTCATTACCGTTTTAATCTCATGGCTCACCAGACCGCACTGCCAGTTGATAAATGATGGCAACCCGGGTTCCGGGGGCGGGGGGAGGAAATAAAACCTGAATTCTTCCAAGGGCCCCGGTCAGTACCCTTTTGGAGCTGGCATTTCTGGAGGTCTGGTCTTCCCTCTCCAGAGCAGAGTGCCAGGGGTGGGTGCGGCCGAGTGCTCTGCGTTCGGGGGGCTGCTGTCTCCCAGGGCTCTTCTGAGAATGTTCACGTCTTTTTCTGGGCTTTGTTTGAGCAGCCATGGAAACCATTAGGTCTAATCAGCTCATAAAAAAAGAAAAAGTCCCTGCACCAATTACCTGTCCTGGGAGGAAGCACACAGCACAGAAGAAAGAGAAAGTCGCTGTTGAGGTGACTGCATCTGCATCTCGGGGGGGACGGCGGGGGAAGAGACGAGCACACCGGCCATCAAAGAACGCTTTTCTCTGTATCAGAAAAGAGTGCGGCCCAGCTCTGGCCAACCTGAGATAGGGGTCTCCCTGGCCACCCGACTGGGACAGATACACCTCCGCCTTTAGGAACAGCATTGTCCCCCCCTCCCGACTCCCACCCCCAACACGCTTTGTCTACTTACTCAATGATTTCTAGGAGAAAGCAACATTCTTGTGACTCTATTGTCTCAGGAAATTGTACGAACTGACCCAAGAAGTAGTAAGGACCGGATATGAGGCTCTATCTACCCATCTGTATTGAGAGACACGACATAGAGATCGACAGGTAGATGGACGCACCTCTGCGTGGCTGGGAAACCACAGCTCCCCCAGGGGGCTTCCATGGAGCGTGGTGCACGGAACTGGAGAGGGTTTTGGTATAGGAAAAAGAAAGTTTGCTTTTTAATTGACTACACCATTGTTCAAAGAATGCAGTGAAAGACGTGCTCTTTCTGCAAATCTGTAAGGGAAACGGTACGGAAAGAACCAGGGAAGAGGTTTCAGGACAATATCTCCATAGCAAAAAGATCTTTTCTTCCCCCTCTCCTTTGTGAGGAGCCTGAAAACCTTCCCTCATGTCGTTGTCACTAGCGAGGAGCCGGCAGCGAGAGCTGCGTGGGGGCTTCGCGTGTTGGCTGTGCTCTCTGCCGGTTCTTTTGTGACGGCCTTGAACGGAGCGCGAGGCGTAGACAGACACTATACAGGTGGTGTCTTTCCAGTTCAGGGGAAAAAAAAACAAAACCCTGACCCAACCCTTCCTGCAATATTATTTTTAGTCCTTCCCTCCCCAACTGGCATAATTTGGTATAAATTATGTCTTCAGCAACGTCAAATCCCCCTCCTACCGTCTCTTCTTTAGAAAAGAAAAAAATCTTTTTTTTCCACTGTTGTGTTCCGTAAAATCGTCGCCCCTTCCCAAACTTTGCTTTCTGCTGGGAAAGTCATCGTGGAATTCCTTCTCCTTGCTCTATGGGATGGCAGCAGGCTGGGCAGAGCCACGTCGTTGCCAGGCCGGGGGGGCGGCGGGAGCTGGGGCGGAGGCGGCCGTGCGGCTGGCATCATGTGTAGGTGTAGTCTACGTCGGGGATGCCGCCGTCCCGGTAGCCCCGTGTGGTGCCATAACCAATGGTGTGCGTGCCCTTGCAGAGGCTGCTGCCGTTGGAGGGGAAGATGGTGTGGACCACGTACTCCTCTTTGGCGCGGTAAGGGTTGATGGGCAACATTTGCAGCCCGGGGCCTCGGATTTCCAGGATGGAGTTATCCTTCTTGGTCCCGGACTCCATGTAGTCGTCCTTTTTCCGGCTGCCCCGATTGTACGCCCGGTCCCGGGTCAGCAGCTCACCGGCCCGGTGCACGTACCAGCAGATGGCCCCCAGGACCAAGAAGAGGAAGACGAGGGCCACGGCACCACCGATGATGCCCGCCAGGGGCAGGCCCCCCATGGGGTCTGCGTTCTGCTCCTGGTTAAGCGTGGTGGTGGGGCCGGAGCTGTCTGCCGTCTCGGCCTTGGCGCACACGGGCGTCTCGTCAGCCACGTAAGTGTTGCCGGTCTCCATGGTGACCATGCAGATGATATAGGTGGACTTGGGCTCCAGAGCCGTCAGCAGGTACTCCGTCTTGTCCCCCTGCACCAGTGTCTCCGTGATGGAGCCCACAGCTGGGCTGTGGCCCAGGCGTAGCCAGCTGAGCCGGAAAGAGGAGGCAGGGAGCGTGGCCTTCCATGTGATGCGGATGGAGTCCGCCGTCAGGGGCTTCACGTGGATGACCAGGGTCTTGGCGCCATCGCCCGTGGCCATGGGGTAGTCGAGGCTGGAGTCGGGGAGGCGCAGCCCCGGCCTCTTGGCCTTGAGGGTGAAGAGTGAGCCCTGGGGTGTGGTGGCAGAGGCGTGGTTGCTGGCCGTGGTCTTGGCAGCAGCATCGGCCGCGCCTCCCTGTGAGCCCGTCTCGAAGCACTCGTCCATCTCGCTGGTGATGTCCTTGATGGCCATGCCCCGGACCTTCTCGGGGCCCTGGCACATGAGGCCCCGCACGTTGACCACGGCCGCCCGCGCCTTCACCCAGTCGCGCAGCCACATGAGGTTACAGCCGCAGAACCAGGGGTTGTTGCGCAGCAGGAGCTGGGCCAGGTTCTCCAGGTCGTCGAACAGACCGCGGGGCAGCGTGGTGAGGTTGTTGTTGGACAGGTCCAGGCGCTCCAGTTCGCGCATCTTGGCCAGCGTGTTGTAGGGGATGTGGCTGATGGCGTTGTCCTGCAGGTACAGCTTCTGCAGGTGGGCACTGGGCAGGTTGAGGGGCGGGGCGGCCAGGGAGTTGCGCACCAGCGAGAGCTCAGTGAGGTTCTGCAGGCGGCTGAACGTGTCGTCGGCGATGCGCTGGTTGGCCAGCAGGTTGCCGTCGAGCACCAGGCGCCGGAGGCTGTTGAGGCCCTTGAAGGCGTGCAGCGGGATGGTGGAGATGCGGTTGTCGTCCAGCCGTAGCTCCTCCAGCGTGCGGGGCAGCCCTGAGGGGATGCTGCTCAGGTGGTTCCGGCTCAGGAAGAGCAGCTTGAGCTGCTTGCTGTCGGCAAAGGCATCGTCCTCGATGCTGACAGTGGACACGGAGTTGTCGTCCAGGTGCAGCTTCTCCAGCAGCGGGATGCGGGCCAGTGAGTCCCTGGCGATGGTGCGCACGTTGTTGTCCTGCAGGTGTAGCTCCCGCAGGGAGCGGGGCAGGTTAACTGGGAGCTCGTCCAGGTCATTCTCGTACAGGTAGATGACCTGCACGTGGACCTTGGTCTTGAGGTCCCGGGGGATGCCGGCGTTGTTGATCCGGTTGTTCTGCAGGTAGAGGGTGGTGGCATCGTCAGGGATGTCAGCGGGGATGGAAGTGAGTCCCCGGTCGTTGCAGTAGATGAAGGTGTTGTCACAGCGGCATACCGAGGGACAGGTGGTGCTGTCGATGACCTCCGTCAGGAAGGCGATGAGCCCGCAGCAGAGGAAAAGCCAGTCCCGCAGGTCCATGGTGGCCGTGGTCATCACGACGGTGGCCGTGACGGTGGCAGCGGGGGTGGCGGTGGCGGGGGGGTGTGCCACCACCATGGTGGGTGGCTGGGGGCGCCGGGCCCCGCCTGATGGGGAGCCTCAACACCTGCAAGGAGCATAAGACACGTGCGGTGAGAGCAAGTCCTGGCGCCCACCCGCCTGGCCGCGGGCTCGCCGCGGGGCAGAGGTCAAGCCTCGAGGCGCACGCCCCGCGGCCCCTCCTGGGCCCGCCTGACTTCACGGGCGGTCCCTCGGGCCGAGGTCAGACTCTAACGACATCTGGCTAACGTGAAATCTCATCAGGAGCAAAGATGTCTGTGAATTAGGCGGCCGCAGTCGGCCTTCCCGGACGGTGATCTCGAGCCGCGGGTGAGGTTTATTTAGCGAGAGCCATGCCGCGGTTTGTTTCTTCTTTCGAGACTTCATCCTAAGCCAGTCTTTATGGCCAATGCTAAAGGTGGCTGGTCAGTGCTGATGGGATGGATTTAAGGTGTGTTTTATGGATCCAGAGCCACCATTTCTCATGGGAACGGAAACTCGCATCTCTATCTGGCTCATACCCAGGGTCTGAAGGAGAAGCTCGTTTCTGTGAGGGCTGTGAGCTCACAAGGGGCTGGGGGCGGGGGGGGGGGGGTCAGTAGAACCCGCAGAAAAGAAGCCGCCGGGTTGCCACTGGTGAGCAGTGGAGGGTGAGGAGCTTCATTGTCTTGTGTTAAAACATGTCCCATTTGTCACTCATGCATTTTATAGACAGAAGAATGAGGTGCCAACGGGATCGCTTTCTTGTGTATTTACAGAAAACCCTTTATATCCGAGGTGCCCTCCCTAGCTCCGCATTCCATGTCGTGTGGGAGATTATTCTATACCTTACCCCCTTCCCAAATCACGAAACTTTCAGCTATTTTGAAAAAAAAAAAATGTATCTGTTTTCTTGCATTTGAAGAAATGACACGAATAAAAGGAGGGAGGGGTCCACACTGAGGGAATCAGCTGCAAGGTGTAATTTCGGTTTTCACAAATGGAAAAATTGCAGCGTAGATTTTTCTCCTATTATTTTGCTGTTCATAGTGGTAAAAAATCAATTAAAGAGAAATGATCTTTCAACCTCAGTTGGGGAGGTGTCTTCATGCAGCCAGCAAAGGTCTGCCATGTAACTCTAGGTTCACAAAGGCTTTTCAACGGTGGGACACAATCATTGCCTCCCCAAATCTGAGCTGAGGCCCCAGCCTGAAGCCAGCCCAGCCCGGTGTGCAGAGCAGAATTGGGATCTGGTCACCGAACGAGTCAGTGGGGACCTCACTCTCAGGCCCTGGGGACTGAGCATCTCCATTTCTCAACCAATGTCAAATCTCCCTTGTCTGTCCCTCTCTATCCTGGAACTGCTCCCCTCCATCTAGCAAACTGCTCTTCACATGTCCCCTCCTCTGCTAGTCTTCCACCCACCCATCCACGCATCTGTCCATCTAGCCGTCCAGCAGATCTTTGTGGAGCACCCCCCACGTGCCAGCCCATGTTCTAGCCACTTGGGATCCCATTCTGGTGGGATAGCTCACACTATGATGCTCCTAGAGCTTCATGAGCATTTAAGTCATTTAACCCTTCTAGCAAACCTGACGTCAATGCCCTTCTTCTTCCCACTTAACAGAAGAGAAAACTGCGGCTCCGAGGCATTAATGCACTCAAGACACTTGAGGAGTGGTGGGGAGGCCAGAACCTTGGCCACTAGGCTCGTGGTGCCCCATCTCATGCCCATCTTTGTGGGCTGTGGGTTGCACTGTTGGGTGGTTAGTGCTTTAATGTCCCCGACTAAATCTTAGGTACTCAAGGGCAGGGACCGTGGGCTGTGGAGGCCCGGTGTGGCTTAGCATCAGCGACCACCCAAGGTGCTTCGCAAGGCAGGAATGCCTCCAGTCACTCCCCTCTACACACTCATACCCCATTTGCATTTACTGGGGCCTCTGGACAGACAGCCTCGGCAGCCCGAGGGCCTCCTGGAGCAAGCTCAGGCTTTGCCCATGGTTAACGCACTAGCCTCGCTCGGGGCCTGTAAGAGGCATGAACCTTTATCCATGAGGTGCACCCAAGGCAGCTCAGGGGCTGGCGGAGGAAAGCTGGCTAGAAGCAAGTGACGGCAAAGGGGAAAACGTGCATGGGGCCTGTGCACGGAGCCAGAAGGGCCAAGGCCTCGTGGAAAGCCAGGAGAAAGGGGGACTGCTGAGACCTTGTCCAACACTCTGGGCTCCTGAAGCAGCTTAGGCCCCCTTCTGTGAGCACCCGCTGGCCTGAGGGGCTAAGGACACTGCCTGCTTATTCCTGGCTGCTTCCTTGAGCTCATCTCTCGGCCCAGGTTCTAGGTCCTGAGCCCACTCACACCCCGTCCCTGTGGGACCTGGAGTGGGTCTTTGCGTCCTGCACTAGAGCTTGCTCTCGGCGGATTTAGCCATCGGCTTTGTTTCCCTGACCCGGGTGCCCTGACCCACTCCCGTCCTCTTACCCCCACCTGCAGAGCCCCACACCATGCTGGTCAGCCCTCCTTCCCTTAGTGTCAGCGAGAGTCACCCCATAAAATCTGGCTGGAGCGTGGGCATCCCAGGCTGCCTGGCCTTTACCTGACCACTGATTCTCTCACCTCTCATCACACCCAGGCCTGAGGAGGGCCATGGCCCGAACTCTGTAAGAGGACAGGCTCAAAACGGGCCTGCTACATAGACCGGGACATGCCCGCCTTCAGAGGACAGGGATAAACCCAGGCACAAGGGGGACCAACCAGCCAGGTCTCGCCCAACCCCCTCCACAGACGCATGTTTGTACCTGAGCCAGCCTATCACATACACACGAGGGTTATGGAGCCTGCATATCCCGTCTCAAGATGCTTAGGAGAAAAGAGGCAGGACTAGGGCAGGTGTGCACCTGCCCCGGTCTCAGAGGTCAGGTCTGAGTCCCGCTGTCCAGGGCGCCAGCATCTGGCCAGAGGACACACACCTTCTTTGACCTGTCAGCTGCTGAGACCTGGCACGTGGGATGCAGGTGGCCCCTGGGCTTGGCCGTTTGGGCGGTGCCCTGAGCAGGGGGGCAGCCTTGTAAAGGCCAAAGCCAAGGCCAGCCCCCACGTTCTCTGGCACAGACATCAGTCCCCGGTGCCGGCTCAGCTCATGGCCACAGCCCTCAGCGTCCAGAGGCCCTGGCATCATAACAGTGTCTAAATTGCACCTTTCAGAGATGCCTGATGGATAACCAAGAAGCAGTTGGGAGGCCGAGACCCAAGGCCTTTCCCTTCCCCTGTCTGCGGGCCTCATCCATCTTTGCTTGAGCTTCCCCTTGCCGCCCCTTCCCCAAGGCTGCGGCGCAGGGCAGGGCCTGGGGGTGGAGAGGAAGAAAGCATGCCTTCCTGGAGGAGCCTTTAATTGCCCGGGTGCCAGGTGGCCTTTTTATTCCTTTGTTGTGTGTTTGACAGTTTGTGTGGCCATCAAATTAAACCCAGTAAATCGCCCGTCTTCTGCAGGGTCACTTGTTGTGCAGATTCCGCAGACTTCAGCATGATGGGAGTTATGACCTGCCGGCTCCGTGACTGACAGCAGGATCCTTCCCTGGGGGGCCGGGGGAGGGAGCAGGGAGGTGGCTCCGGCTGGATGGATACAGACCCCCATTCGCCAATGGGGGACCCAGGGCATCGTTCTTGGGGATCTCCCTCAGTCACTAGCTCCTGCCAGCTTCCAAGACAGAGAAACTTGCGTTCGAGTCCTGCCTCTGCCACGTCCAGGCTCCCGACAGGGACTCCTTGTCAATCGCTGTGATGCTGGGCCCCCTCCTCCTTCACTTGTGCATCCTCAGTCCCACGCCCCAAGCTATGGTGGACACACTGATCCTACAGTGGGGCCCTCCTGTTGTGACCCCAGGCTGCACCAGCCTCTTTCTCGTGGGGAGCTGTCCAGGCCCAGGGAGGGGGGTGTGAGTGGCTGGAGCCCACAGCTCAGCTCTCGCCTCGGTCCCCCTGGAACTCTCAGCTGCAGCCCAGCCCTGGTTCCTGAAGGCCCTGACCTCCCTTGTGCTGCTCCCTCTGGGCCTTTGCTCCATGCTGTTCCTGATCCTTGGACACCAGCACACCCTCCCCCGCTCCTGCCATTGCCGGGCCAGTTTCTGCTCCTCCCCAAGACCTCAGTGTATAGAGCCCCCTCCATGAAGCTTTCCCTGACCCTCTGCAAAGCTGACCCACTTCACTGGTGGGAGATGTTTATCTGCCAACTGGGTGGAGGTGCTTCCCTGTTGGAGACCCCCGGCCTGGTGTCTTCCCCAAATCCCATTACGCTGGGGCTGCCAGAGGCCCGGGGACTTCCATGGGGGGGGGGGGCGTCACCTTGGGAGGGAGAGGCTGGAGGGAGGGTAACACGCAGGGGGCAGCTGCAGGACGGAAGGCCCAGCACAGGCCCTAGCATGCTGGACAGGAGATGGTACTGCTGCAGGTTCTCAGGGCACAGTTAGATGTGAGCACACCAGGGGGCTGAGCGTGTTTCTGGAAGGAGCTGGAGGTCCCAGGTGGGAGAGGGAAGGCAGGGCAGGCCTCCTCCTGCCCCCAAGCGCTGGCCTTCCTTCCTGTTGGTTAGTGAGGGCAGCTCATGTGGGGATGTCCTGATGCTGGGTCCCCCGAAGTGCCAGGCATGGTCTCAGCCCCCACTTTAGGAATCAGAGAATTCCAGATGGTGCTGACTCCAAGAAGGAGGCGTGTGAACTAGAATCAGGGAGGGGACAACAAAACTAGGTTTGAATCTGGCCTCACTACTCCCCAGCTGTGTGACCTGCAGCGACACGTCTCTGGGCCTCAGCTTCCTCATCTGTAACGTGCTGCTGGGAACCCCACTCTCCTGGGAGGATGACAAGAGAGGGTTTGTGCAGAATGCCCAGCACAGGACTGGGTGGTTCTAGAAAGAAGAGCTGCTCCACCTTGTCCTGGCGAGGGACCCCGAGGTGCTCCTATGACCCACTCAGGCTGCCCACCTGTCTTGGCAGAGCTTCTGAAACGATGGAGCCAGGGAGCCCCTCGCCCTCCCCTTTTCTATGCCCCCTCTGGTCCATCTCTTCAACAACAGGAGTTCATTGTGTTTGCCCTAAGCCTTGCCAGGCCCCCAGGTCCTTCCCGGAAGGGCCCGAGGTAGGAGCAAGGTGTACAGATAGGGCAGGCTAGGGATAGAAGCAGTTGCTCAGCCCTGAGGGGGTAAAGCAGGAGATGCTGGCCCCAGGAGCCGTGGTCTCCCCTGCCAGGCCGGGAGCTTCACCAAGGCTAGATCGCTGCACACCTGTGATGAGTCCTCAGCAGACCTTTGTTTAAATTAATGAGGGCCCCCCTCCCCCCAGGGCCTGCCTGGGCTCAGTCCCCGGCTCCACCTACTGAGGGTGGCCTCAGGTCTCAGGCCTTCCTCTGTAAGATGGGACCACAAATGATCCACCTCCCTGGGCCTTGTGTGAGGATAAGCTACGGCTGTTTTCAAGCTGAGCAGAGGGCCTGATGCAGAGTGCCCTACACAACAGGGGACCATGCCCATCTTAGCAGTAGGCAGCGCTCCAGGGCAGGTCCAGATGGGAACCGCGGGCCCAGGGGGAGACCCTGGGACTTCTGGGTGAGCGGACCTTTTCCAAGCCCTAGTTCAGGCCCAGGCCAGTCTAAGCCCACCGGAGTCACCTCCTTCGGGCAGGGGGCCGGCTGCCCTGACCCTCAAGGCCCTTCCGAGCCTGCCCTGCACGACTCTGCCCCAGCTCTCATCCACCGGTACCATTGATAACTTGTAGTAGAAGGGGAGCGGGGCCGGGGGTGGAGGGTGGTGGTAGGGGATTCTTTTAAAACCTAAAGTTAATTATTTTTCTAATTTTGTGTTGCATGCATTATGCATCAGCGGTTCTCACTAGCGGTAATTGCAGACAGGTATGCAAATCCACTAAAAATGTACCTCGAGTTCACCTCACCGCGTAGGCCGCCTGGGCGGTGCCGGGTGCCGGGCGGCTGGATGTCCTGAACTTCAGAGAATGCAAATCCCTTTAAAAAACAAGACTTTAAAATTGTGTCTTAGGAGGTTAATTATATTGATAACAGTGTTCGATATTAAACTATTCAGGGCCGGGAGGGGGTGGGGGGGATGAAAGGAGACACGTGTAATTTTGTTTCTCCCTCTCTCCCCACATTATTTAATGAGATATTCCTGCACCTGATATTTCTGTCTGTCTGCGTGCATTTTTTAGTAAACCTGCCTAGACTGAGGCTTCATTCCTTTGGGGAAGGAAAAAGGAGAGGGCAGGGGAGTTTCAGAAGGTAGAAGAGGGGCTTGAGGGCCTTCATTGGGGGGGGGGGCAGAAGGAAGGAAGGGAGGGGAAGGGAGGAGGTAGCGGGGAGGGGACCCCGGGGTTTGTAGGTGGCCTCTCAGCAGTCAGCAGGATGGGGGCAGCCAGGGGCAGAGAGAGAGGAGTAGGGTGACCAGAAGAGACGGGGGATGGTGATGTTTATTGATCATGAAGCAAAGGCTGAGAGCTGGCCGGAAGCAGGCTGGGGGTGGGGCCCCCCCGGTGGGGCCCCCCCGGGAGCTGTGCAGCATCACCCACAACACAGGCCCTGCTCCTTGAGAAATACCCCCTCTTTATTTATCCCGAGTTGATTGTCCAACCATTCCCACTAGAATGTAAACTCCCCTAAGCCAGGATACGTTCTGTTCTGTTCACCGGCCCAGCAGAGAGCCTGGCGTGGGAGTGCTCATAAGCATCTGGTGAATGAATGAATGAATGAAGACGCCAAAAGGCAGGCCCCCCAATCTGAAACCTGGAAACAGGCAGTGGCAGAGAAGAGGGAGGCTGGCCCCCCTTTAGCCCCAGCCTGGGAGGGATAACCACCCAGGCGCCCTCAGCACCACGGCCCAGAGAGGAAGAGGGACTGACTGGTCTGAATTATGCCACCGGTGGTGGGGGAGCCGGACACAGACCCAGGCCTTGGACTCGCTGTCCAGTGCTCTTCCCTGCCCTCTCAGCTGCCCCCTTCTCCTCTCCTCTGACACGGGGAGGCTGGCCTGGCACTGCCCGACCACAGGTCTACCTCCAGGCCAGCCTCCCATTCCTAGAGATGGCCCGCAGGGACGCACGAGGGTGGACCCCACCGTCAGGACTCCGGAATTGGGGAGTCACGGGACCTTGGAGATAATCTGCCTTTCACAGGGGAGGAAAAAGTGAGGCCCAGAGAGCAGAAGGGATTGGCCCAGCAGCCACGGGCACCCCTCCCCCTGGCCACCTGCTCCAGCCTTGGCACTGAACTCTCAAACCCTTTCCCAGAGGACTGGCACAGGGAGGGTGGTGGTGCACAGTGTCTAACTCACACAGGGACTCGTGGGGGCTGCCTCCCCCGCCTGCAGGTCTGTAGACCCCTCCAGCCCGATGGGGTGGGGCCCATTAGTGGCAGTAGCTGGCCAGGGAGGGGCCCGCTGCGTGCTGGGTCCTCCGTGACCCCCTCCCCTCTCCAGCTGGCCTGCGCACCCAGCGCACAAAGGGGAGCACGTTTAGGGAGGGAAAGGGATGTGCCCAGGGTCACACTGCTCACAACAGGAGGGACAGGGCACCAGCTCATGTCTGCCTGGCTCCTCTGGTTTGGTTCTCTTTGCTTTTCTGCCTCGGGATGGAAGGAGGCTCCACAGCTCACCAGAGGCAGAGCCCTGCACTGAGCAGGTTCTCCATAAATATTAGGGGCGCAGGCCTGGGGAGCGGCCGTGGGCCCCAGGAATTGCCCCCCAACCCCTCCTAGGGGCTGGGAGGTGAATAGGGACAAATGACGGGGCAGTGGGGGATGTGTGGTAGGGATGAGGGAGGGGAGGCCAGGTGGGCAGGGGCCGAGCATGGGCTCCCTGCGATCGTGACGCCTGTCGGCCCCGCTGCTGGGCTGGCGCGCCTTTATAATAAATAACAGCAAATAGCCGATCCGCAGGGCATCTTTCACGCCGGTGGCTAATAACATGGCTATTAATGCCCCCGCAGACGGCGTGCACGTCGCGCCGCGCTGACGAATGTCCCGGGCCCTGGCGCAGTCATAAATCAGCCCCTCTCCTGGGGAAGCGTGCAGAGAAGTGTCATTTTCCATCTTGGTAATGAATTGGGGCTTCCCTGCCCTGCCCTGGGCACCGCCGCTGGAAGTTGCCTGGGATTTGTGTTTGGGGAGGCACAAGCCCTCCCTCCTGGCCTCTGGGGAGCCGGGAAGAGTGGGGCCACCCCTGCCCCCCAGGCAGGACCCAGCTCTCCACCTGCCCAGCCCTGGCAGTTCCGCAGCTCGAGTGAGGACGCGGGGGCGCTTGGGCCTGCGGTGTGATCTTGGGACACTTACTGCCCGTCCCTGGGCCCCCAGCATGCCACACTCACCAGCAGAGGGGCTGGACTGGAAGCCAGAACAGTGATGCCCAAGGGCCAGCAGGCGCAAGGTCTTGGGTGGTGGCTTTGGCTCAGCCCCACCCTTGGTCCTCCCGGCCAGGGCAGGGGCGGGCCTGGACAGAGAGACTCTCTCCCGTGGGAGGGCAGCAGGTGCAGTGGCCAGTGTCACCAAAGGTCCTGCCTGCCCCAAGGCCTCACGACTGCCCCCTTTGGGCAGAACTCAGAGGGGCTCAAAGTAAGACCCCCGCTCTGGAGCAGCAGGGTCCCCATGGTGGGGCAGCAGTTTACTCCAGAAAAGCCTTATACCCTGGTCCCATCCACCCTGGGGTAGAGCACGGCCCCCAGGTAGCAAAAGACCTCTCCCTTGGCAAGCAGAAACTGCTGGTTGCCTGACTGCCTGTGGGGGGGGTGGGGGGGGGCAGAGCTGCAGACCTGGGGAGCTCTGTGATGCCCCAGTGCAACCCAGCTGGAAAGAGAGCAGGCCCCAGCTGTCTCAGGCATGAGGAGCCACTGGGCCTTCCTGGGCCACCCAGAGCCCCTCTGCAACTGCCTTACCTCCTGAGCTGCAGCCCCGGAGCCTGCTGGGTCTGGCTGGGGTCTCTGTTCTGGATGCTTCCGGTTGAGGTGGGCCTGGACACACTCACATTACGATCCCGCGGCCCTGGCATGCAGGTGCAGGCCACAGAGCTGGGGTGTTGCGTGGAGCTAGGGGCACCCCGGGGAGCGGGCAGGACCCCCGTGCTCTGCTCTGCGGGGCTCCTCGCGCTCAGACTTGGCTGCAGGGCTGGAGTAGCATGCTCTGTCCCACAGGCTCCAGGCGCTGCTGGCCTCTCCCCCCGGAGTGAGGGGCGTGCATGAGGGGCCTGCAGAGGCACCCCCTGCAGCCCCGGGACTCCCTTGTGCTGCCGGACGGTGTTCTGGGCCCCTCCTCCCCAGGCATGCCCTAGAGCCTGGTGTCCATCCTGCCAAGGTGGCCTCTCGCTGTCCTCTTCCAACTTTTGCCCTTTTGTCTGTTGGCCGCCACCTCCTCTGAAAGGCTTCTGCGTGGCTTTTACCCCCTTTTCTTCACCAAGTTTTGTTTTTTTTTTTTTTTTAAATCCCTTTAAGTCACTTGGCAGAATGGGCTCCGGTGCAGAGAGCGGTCTTGCGTGACAGAGCTGAGAGGGAGCCACTCTCCAAAGACTCGGTATTCCTGCCACTCAGGCTGTGTCTCCGGGGGGAAGGAGGGGGTCCATTACCCCGCTGAGGAGTTCAGATGTTCACCACGGGGCTGGAGCTGCTGACATGCGCTGCTGAGCTGTCAGGCCCCACATGCCTCTCTTTGGAAAGATGTTGGGAGGGGCGGGCGGCGCTCAGTCCTGCTTGGCTTCTCCTGTTTGTCGAGAAGGTTTTCTTGCTGGGGAGGTGGGGGGGAGGGGCGAGTTATTCCTGCTTCACCCTCTGGTCTTGTCTGTCCAAAAAGGAGTCCTGCTCACCCACTCCCTGCCTCCTCACCTGCCAAAAAACAATACAAGTGATTAAGCCCAGGGAAATTAGGAGCCACACAGGGACGGGTGGCCTGGGCTGTGGGCCCCCTCTCCTCCCATCCCCCTGGAACCCTCGTTCTTGAACACTGTTCTCCAGTGAGCCGGGAGGGGGTGGGGATGACTCCCTATCATCTCCCTTCTCTTCTCAAATCCAGACAACAAACAGGGGGCCATGCAGAGCACCCTCCTCAAAGCTCCCCGGTTTCATTTAGCTGGGGATGGAAGGACCGGAAAGAGAAGCAAAGTTCTGAGGGCTCCTGGTCGCACAGGGGCTCCCTGCCCGGCCCAGCGCTGGCTGGCTCCGCTTTCCCCCAGCACCTGCTCCTCTTGCGAAATGTCATTCAAAGGATCCAACTGGGCCACCGCGGCCTCGGCTTCCAGAAGCAGCACTGCCTTTCACCGTGGGAAGCAGGAGCAGCGGGGAAGCGGGGAAGTTGGGTCTCAGAGTCTCTGGCCTCCCTCCTGCAACCGCCCCACTTCCTAGGCCAGGGTCAGGGCTCCACGCCTCTGGTGTCCTCGAAGGCCATCCTCCCCTTCCACAGAGAGCTGGGGGGCAGGGCTGGCTGGTCCTCAGATTCCAAAACAAACCCCCAGCCCTCCGATCGCCTCTCACCACCTCTCATTAGCGTGGCGTGCTGAAGCCCTACGATGCCCCGGTGTCCGTATTCCCCCTGCAGGAGCCCCTCTTTGGAAAAGGGCTTTTATTACACATCTGAGAGTGTTAGCTCTGGTTTGAAATCGGATCCAGATGGGCTCAGCTGCATCTGGGCACTCTCCTTTGTCGGGCCGAAGGTGGCTGATTTGAGAAATGCTTGCTGTCTGGGGCTGTTACAAATAAAAACAAGGATCTTTAGGGGTGCGTGTTTTCATAAGCCCAGAGCCCAGACTGGGGCAGAGTGCGCTACACACTGGACGCCCAGCCTGGCAGGGGCACACGGGTGACGAGGGTGGAGTGCCGGCGGAGGCTGATGGGGTGACGGGATACGCGGCGGGGGGGTGGTCCTTGGGACAAGCCTCCCCAGAAGGAAGGGGGTACAAGACGCAGCAAGCCCCATGGATCCTGCGTGGCCAGGGCCTGCTGTATACCCAGGGTGCCAGTAGGCAGGAGGGGTGGGGCCCCTCCAAGGGTGGAGGGGGTGTTGGGTAGGAGGGGAGGCGAGGACAGTGCCTGACAAGGGGTGACTGCCGGGCTGTGGCGCGGGTTCTTACTGCTATTACCCCGCGTGATTTCATCCAATTATAAATTGTAATTTCTCTATGAAAGCGAGAGATGGAAACAGTCCAATGAGGTCATCTGCCTCCCTGGCCAGGGCGAGGAAATTGTTTTTGTACTGCTGGGGGTGGGAGTGGAGGTGGCGGGGACTCCGTATTTCAAGAGGATGGTGGCAGTGTCCTCGGAGCCCAGAGGCTCCAGCCGGCCATGGCTGCTGATCCCCCGCGACAGAGAGAAGCGGCCTAAGAACTGCTTTTGAAGTTATGAATCGAGGAGGGCGGCTTCATCCTACCAGCACTGGCCCCTTTTCCCAGTCCTCCTATCAGCCTCGAGAGCCCCACAAAGCACAGCCCCAGAATGCCCGAGCGGGCTCGCTCCAGGCCCTTCCCCCACACTGCCCCCGCTCCTGCAACATCGGGTCGCCCTCCTCCTTGGGGGGCCTGGTCACACAAACCTGTAGTGTCCTGAAAGGAGTTGTCTCCCTGCTTCAAGGAGGGGATTATCTCTGCTTGTCTGAGGCAGATCCCCCAGTACCTGGCTTAGTGCCTTGCACACAGTAGATGCTTCATAAATGCACCCGGTGACCTCCCCACTCTCCTTTCTCATTTAGAAAATTGGGGTCTGAGCAAGGCTCTTGGTGGGGCCATCTGACTTCGTCCATCCTGGGGTGGGCCTGCTGGCCGTGCCTGGGCGGTGGGAGCTCTTCCCACGTGTGGGTGCATCCTGATGATTGTTAGTAGTCACCTGCACTCACCGAACCAAACAAGGCCCAGGAATAAATATGTAAATGTGCCCTCCTGGCAAACATCTACCGTCCTCAGTGGGTGCGCAATTGGATCGAGAAGGCCGAGGCCACACAATGCAAAGTGAGTGCAGCATGCGGACCTTCTATGTGGTCAAACGGAGCTAGGATAAAATGAACCTGTTCAGTCCAAGGGTTCTGCTACA